AACACGATATAAGAGCATATTGTGAAAAAACTAACATAGAACCCTTTAAAAAATCACTTTTAAATGGGCAACCCTACCTTCAGAATTTCCTCTGGCGTACGTTTCGACAAGTTTTTTGCGGGTGGCTTGGTGTCTATTGAGATCTGGGTCAAAAGAATCATAAAATGTTAAGTCGAAGTAAGTATTCAGAACGCTCGGGCCAAGTAGTAACTTTGTTAAATAATGAGCACAAATCATTACCGCTTTGAGATACAATAATAGATGATAACACATAAGTTTACACGTGGTTAGTAAATTACACTAAATTTGTTTGCTTCGTTCCTATTGTGTTTTTAATTCTATTGCCCTTGTTCAATCGGTGACAGACTAAGGTTCTTGAATCTTCGCAGTGGGGTTTAAATTACGTAGATTAAGTCTAGAGAGTAACAAGTTACGCTGCTCAGATCCGAACTACTATAAAGTTCATATAACTAGTAAGCTTCATTCACAACTGAAGTCACTTTCAGCCCAAAGAAGATAATCAATGTCAGGAATATAAGTAATAAAAGGTTAAAGAATTTCGAAAATGCATAACTTGGGAAAAACCTTACCGACTGCAAGAACATTCCATAGCCTTTTAAGGGCCGACCTTCACTGCCGATAAATTCCGTTGACAAAAAGATTTCGTTCACTTGATCAAATTGCTTGACCTAAGCGTGCATATGAATTTTGCACAGCCCGGAAAATTACGAGTAGCTCAATCGCTCTTGCATAGCTGTGTCCGGCCACTTTGTCAAAGAAACTAAAGTCGGCAACAAATACGACTCCACAGAAGCGGTGCTCTGTGATCGACGTTGAACGCTTTGTACGCAAAACATTGTCCAGAGATAAACCTAAAAAGGAGATCTGAATAGTTTACACCCGTCCGCATCTATTAGACAGCGGTCATTCTGTCAGCGTCAAAACAACGTTTCGAGTACTTGTTCGGGTCCGATCAAATCGAATCCTGCGCTATTTAGAAGCTGCATACATATGGTTGGTTAAACCTGACCAACGCAAGCAGCTTT